ATCCCCCCCCCCAACCTCCCACCCATCTTCCGATCGAAAATTTTGTTGTAAGAATTGACCTCCTAATCCTGTCCCATCTCCCCATCTCCTAAAGTGCCAGATCAGAAACGAACATCGACTGTCATGGTTGGCCGCTCATTCCTCTTTTCAGATGCTCTCAAAATCATTACTATAATATCATTATTGTCGTGGTCTTTCCCCGTCACCCATATGTTGAAGTTCTCTAAGTAAGTCGCTGTAAGTTGGTCTGCACGTGCCTCGTTTGACCTCTGTTTATCCAGTGAGAATGAGATGTGCAAGGCCTTTGCGACTCTCCAGATGTTCCAGAAAATGCATGGACTATGTATGACGTAAGGACGTAGAGGACACATTTTCAGAAAGTAGAATGTGAATAGAAAGTAGAGCTCGTTTGGTGATATGAAGACGGGATAAACGAACCAAAATGGCGACCCAGATTGCGGCCGACTATCTCTACTGCGACACAACAGAACAAAACTTGCGGCAGATTCTATCGGTCTTCGACACCTGGAAGGTTCAAGAATGGTCAAATAACCAGAACAACAAGGGTGGTGTCACTCGTCATGTGTTTGTCTCACCTGTCCTATCTTGTGGACGCCTGTCATCATGTCCTTGTGCAGCACGTGGAACACGAACACGTGACCCAGCAGCTTCGGGTTCTCCCTGTTGACCTCAAAGATGACCTGGTGGTGCCACACGGGGTCCTGTGTGTTCTGTCTCACCTTGCACTTGTTCTTGCCCTCTCGGATCCCGTTCACGTACATCTCCACCTTCACATAGGGGTCTGGGGAAGGAGGGAACAGTTTTGTTTTAATACATCTCCACCTTCACATAGGGGTCTGGGGAAGGAGGGAACAGTTTTGTTTTAATACATCTCCACCTTCACGTAGGGGTCTGGGGAAGGCGGGAACATTTTTCTTTAAATACATCTCCACTTTAAAGTAAGAGAAACAAAGTAACAGTTTTGTTTTAATGCATCTCCTCCTTCACATACGGGTCTGGGGAACATGGGAACAGTTTTCTTTAAATGGTCACTTTTAAGGACAAGCGTGCTACCCAGAATTTGGGGGTTTCCAGAAATCTTGACCTACACCAAAAGTGTTCATTGCCTACCTATAGGAAAAGTTTGGTTTCATTGGTGCGTATATTTGTTTGGATTTAGAGAAAACTCTTCTTGTCTTTTAAAGAAACTGAACAAGGGGCAAAAACTTTACCTTCGATTTCCTCAAAGCAGCATTTTTCGGGATAGCCCACTTGTGCTTAAAAGTGACCAAATACATCTCCACTTTAAAGTAAGAGAATGGGGAACAAGGGAACAGTTTTCTTTTAATACATCTCTACTTTAAAGTAAGGATCTGGGGAATGAGGGTACAGTTTTCCTTAACTCTTTAAAGACGAAGCGGACTCACATACTCCCGATCAGCAGCAAAGCAAAGGCAAGGTTTCGGCACATTTCGTACCATCAAACACACATCAGAAACACGAGTTTGCACATTCCGTATTATGTACATTGTTGCATGCTTTTTCAGGTTTTGGATAAAGAAAACAACATCGAAAAATAAGTTTCAATGACGAAGTTATACCCCTAAACCAGCATTATTTCATGCGTTGTCGAATGGCCTTCATGTCGTCAAAGAGTTAAATTCCTTCATTGCTGAGACACCTATCTATGTCTGTAGAGACAGGATAAGTAAATGGTCATTGAAGAGAGATTCGAACAAAACTACAGAACCCTTTCCCTTATTGAAAAAGCCCAAACAATTTCGTAAGCGCTTGTTACATCTGTAAGACATTCCTCTATAGGCTAATAGAAGAACGAATGATAGCCAATCAATTTCCGAGAACAGAAGCGAGTACACAATGGTGAAAAAAGAGGTCAATGAAGATGTTTTCCGGCCCATCGACACAATTTAGATCATTTAGGAGGCGGGCTTCAGACCCTGCCTGTCAGAGTCAACCCATAACCCCAGGAGACAGACAGAAACACTGGCTATAAAAAGGTTACTCTTTCGGGAATGGAACTCACGTCGTTTGCAAACGTTGGCAAAGTGCTCAATTGCTACACCACAGACGCCCGCAGTAACGAGGAGACGAAATGAAATACACTTATGACAATGACAATGTCAATCTTCATTCATCTCGGATGGAGAAATTTGTCTTGGTCGTTTACAATGGCAGTAGACGTTACAAAACGCAGGTGCACTCACGCATACGCACAACAAGTCAAAACGTTTGTAATCACATGTCTCACGTGTTGAAACAAACCGTTCCGTAATAAAGTCTCTCTCTCTGTCTCTCTGTCTCTCTCTGTGTCTCTCTCTGTCTCTCTCTGTCTCTCTCTCTCAATCTCTCTCTTCCTCTCTCTCTTTCTCAATCTCTCTCTCTCTCTCTCTCTCTCTCTCTCTCTCTCTCTCTCTCTCTCTCTCTCTCTCTCTCTCTCTCTCTCTCTCTGTTTCATTTGTAGCAATGTGTGTTCAGTAACCTTACTGCAGTTGGTAAGAATGAATTTCGATATCTATCTGTTTTTGCTTTTTTGGAAATGCACCGTTTACTGCTGGTCGATAATTGAATTTCCGATGTCAATGGGTGGCTATGGTCACTTAGCATCATTTCCGTCTTTTTGTAGAACGTTTATTTTGTTCCGATATTCAAAGTTACTTAGGTCTCTACCAATTGTTCTTGATGCCTTTCTGATCAACTTGTTTATTTGTATGAAGTGCTGTCTTCCTAAGTTGCTACCATAGACACCGAATTTGTTTCAAAGTTTCTATTGTGGTGGTGTAAAATACCTGGATGATGGATGGATTCAGATTGAAAGACTTAAGTTTCCTCAGAAAGTACAGCCTATGAGCAATTGAAAATAATATCAATATATTTTGATATTTGCTTTAGTTCTTGCTGACACAGACTTATTATTTCATTTCGGAATTTAAAAAAAAAGCCAGTTTCGATATTTGCACTTTGTTTTTGATGAAGCAAAATTGGTATCACACACAGAATAACTCTATCCTGTATTCAATGAAGAATTTCGATTGCTATGTTTCGGTCTAAAGAGATCAATTCTCTTTTACGAGCAAAATACAGCATATCGAGAAAAGACCCGGGGTCAATATCTGCATTGTGTTATTGATGAGGGGTATTTCTTTAGAACAAGCGAATGATGCTGTAAAGACAAATAAAATCAAACTCAATATTCGTATTTTGCTTTTGATGAAGTAGATTTTCACATTCAGTTTCGTATCAGGGCGCCTCGTTGGTTCAGTTGGTATCATATAAGACAACGGAGCGGATGGCCCTGGTTCATTTCTTTCTTTTTTTTGTAAGTGTTTTACGGCGCTCGCAACTGCATAAGGTCAAGAGAGCGCGCGGGACACTTTAAACCTTTTCAGTTGGTAGGAAATTTTGGATTTTGCCCGGGTAGGGGCCAAAGCCTACTCTTATCGATTTTAGACAACCAAGGGATCTTTAACGGGCGCAACTTGCACACGGGCCCTCCGAGATTTTTTTACCTTGTCCGAGAAGGCTAGGTGTAGATCTTTCCTACCAGAAGATAAGGGGTGTGGCTGAAAGACAGCAGTAAGAAGGTACCAAGGAGTAGCAGTAGAAAGGCTGCAGAAAGAGTCAGGAGCCCGGAGGAGGGGGCAATGGAGGTGAGGGGTGGGGGCAGAAAGAGGAGAAGAAAGCAGAAGACAGAACATTGCTAGAGAGCAGGAAAGGAGGTGAAAGGAGACAATTTTTTAGAAGAACATTTATCGATCGCTCTCCGGATTTGAACCCGGGACCTTTGAATGAGAGGCGAACACCTTTAGCTCTAGGCCACGAGAGCCTCCGGCCCTGGTTCGAGTTAAACCTATAGAATTTCCCTTTTTTCTCTCTCTTTTTTTTCTCTCTACCCCCTTTTTCTGTTTCTCTCTCCCTCCCTTTTCTGTCACACATACTTACAAAGAAACAACCACACTCAAACATACAAAACGAACCTACCCACAAATCACCCTACAAAATTATTCAAGAGCAGAGTACAACACAGTCCCCAAGAAGCAAAACACACCCACTCTCCTCCACACTAGAAGTGGGCAAAATCCGGATAATCCATAAGGATAACCGTTATCCGAATTCAGACTCTAAACTCTCTTTCCTGACCCGTCTGCCTAAGCGGGTGCACCCATTTGTTGAAGTAATAATAACCCGTTTGTCAAAGTTGTTCTAAACCTTTTGCCGAAGCGGTTCATATCATATTATTAGCCGAAGAGGTGCTCTAAAATATAATCCGGATTTTGCTGAAGCGACTCATTGCCCAGCTCTACTCCACACCCCCTACCCCTCTA